TTAGTACACCTAGCTATGCTGCTTTTGCCCTGGGGTCTTCCAGCCTTGTGGCTGGCGGCTGGGTGCCTTCTACTGGTGCTGTGCAGAGGCTTTCCCTAAGGCTGCTGTGAGCCTGTAGGGTTTCCCCCTAGGCTACTAAGCTGGGTCTCTGGAACTCTCTCCAGCCCCAGTCCTCTCCGAGATCTCCAGCAATCCCTAGTCTCACGGGGCGGGCAACGGCAGCTGGGGGTCGCCCCGCCCTCTGGGCTTCGCTCCGGGCCTCTCCCGGGAGCCCTGAATGCTGGGCGTGGCCCCTCTGCTAATGGCAGACAGAGAGTTTTGTCTGCTGCCTGGCGGAACTCATGGAGTAGATTCTTGGAAGGGAAATTGCAAAGTCAAAGGGCATCACATTGAAAATTATTGTAGACATTGGCAAATGGCCCTCCACAAAGGCTGTACAAACTTACATTCCTACCAACAGTATATGAGACTTAGATCATGGAAAGGTGGAGCAGTCAGGAGAACCAAATTTGAGGTGACAGGTCAGTAGTAGAGCCTGAAAGGAGGAACCTCAGCCCAGAGGACTGGGAGAAAGTCTACTTCTGCAGGCTGAGGATGGGCAGAATAGAGAGCACCCCAGGGTCGCTCACAGTGACATAGTATTGGTTACTTAAGAACCCAAGGTGGGAGGATGCTTCATGCTATTGGGAAGAGAGAACCAGGACCTTTACCTCAATTCTATCACAGGAGGATCACAGCCCTTTGGTTCTTAATCTCTTTTGGATTATGGACCTCTTTTAGGATTTGATAATCCTAAATCCCTGAGTGTGCACACATACTCACACAAATGCACCTGCAATTTTGCGTATAATTTTGAAGAGCTAACTGAAAATCTCAAAGTATTAGACATCATGTACAAAGCCTGGACTAGCCTTCTGAAGGATGAGATACCATGTAGTCATTCTATTCCTCCCAAACAAGGCCATCAAAAGGCTAGTAGTCCTAGCTATCCCATCAGCCAATCAGGTTCATAAGTGAGTCCACCTGAGATCAGAGGAGACCAACAGAAAAACCACCCAGCTGAGCCCAGCACAAACTGATAACTTGCAGAATCATGCACTAAATAATAGCTTGTGGTTTAAAGCCTTTAGGGGCAGGGCCGGCCAGAGGAGGCAAGCTGTCCCAGGCCACAGTCACCCGCCCCTCTCCTCGCTGCAGCCCTGCGCTCCCACCATGCCCTCCTGGTGCTGCAAGGCGCTGATGGGGAGTCATCTCCATCTGCTCAGGGGGCTGGTTTGGCGGGCAGTGGGCACTGCGGCATCAGGGATGGAGAACGGCACATCACCATCTTTGGGGAAGTCAGCAATTGCTCCTGTGAATCGGATCCAAGTAACGACTTCTGATAATTGTGTGGTAATTTTCTCAAAAATATCTCATTCTTACTGTACAATGGCAAAAAAAACTTTTCCATTACACAAATGTTAATTATAAAGTGGTAGAATTGGACATACTTGAATATGGAAGCCAGTTTCAAGATGTTCTTTACAAAATGACTGGTGAAAGAACTGTGCCAAGAATATTTGTCAATGTAACTTTTATTGGAGTTGCAACTGACACTGATAAGCTCCGCAAAGAAGGGAAATTGTGTCCACTAGTTCATCAGTGTTCTTTCTTTTAAAAAAGTAAGAAGAATTTTAGTGTTGTAGATTCTCATAACTTTGCTAGTAAAATGTCAGTTATTTAAAGTGATAATGTCTTTTAAATGTTTGAGGATGTTTTCAATATGTGAATTATCTTCATGAAAAAGTTGTAGAAATAATGAACAATAAATCACTGTAGAAACCTCAAAAAAAAAAAAGCATTAAGTTTGGGGACGGTTTATTATACAGGAAAAGCTAACTGATACAATCTCCATGAAGAAAACTTGGAAATGCTATTGGGGGACACCAAAGAAGACTTGAACAAGTGGAAAGACATACCATGCTCTTGGACAGGAAGAATCAAGATCATGGAGATAGCAATTTTCTCTAAGTTATTTTATAAATTAAATAAGCTACAAATGAAATACTTTTATAATCAAATGAGCTGATTCCAAAGTTCATATAGAAAAATAAAGTCAAGAAGAACCAGGAAAAAAAATCAAAAACAGAAGAAGAGGAACTATACCAATCAGATATTACAGCATATTATAAAGCTTCAGTAATGAAAAGAGGATAGAACTGGTCATGAATAACCAACATAACAAATAAACAGAATAGATAGTCCAGAAACAGACCTAAATATATGGAGGAATTTTGTATGGTTCCTAAGCAAATTTTAAAATCAGTATAGGAAAAAAAAGTTGTGTAATTAATGTTTCTGGGGAAACTAGATAGTCATCTGGAAAAATATAAAATTTGTATGAGTCACATTTACCTCAAGATTCAAATGTAGCCCTTTAGGCTCTCTGAGTAGCACCATGGCAATCAGCAAGAACAAGCACTTTAAGAAAGGTACCAAAAAGGGAGCCAAGAAGAAAGTAGTTGATCCAATTTTTAAGAAAGATTTGTATGATGTGAAAGCACCAGCTATGTTCATATGAGAAATAGTGGGGGCCCAGCCTGAGGGTGCAACCATTCACATGTGCCACTTCAGTGGCCCAGGGTTTGCCAGTTTGGATCCCAGGTGCACACCTAGCACTGCTTGGCAAGCCATGCTGTGGCAGGCGGCCCACATATAAAGTAGAGGATGATGGCCACAGATGTTAGCTCAGGGCCAGTCTTCCTCAGCAAAAAGAGGAGGATTGGTGGCAGATGTTAGCTCAGGGCTAATAGTCCTTTAAAAATATACATAAAATATATATATATAAAATAAAATATATATAAATAAATAATAAACAAATATAAAAATATATTTTAAAAAATATATATAAGAAATATTAGTAAAACTAGTCATGAGAACTCAAGGGACCAAAATCACACCTGACGGCCTCAAGGGTTGTGTGTTTGAAGTGAGCCCTGTTGATCTGCAGAATGATCAAGCTGCACTTAGAAAATTCAAGCTAATAACTGAGGATGTTCAGGGCAAAAACTGTCTATCTAATTTCCATGGTGTGGATCTTACTTATGACAGAATGTGCTCTATGGTCAAAAAACGGCAGACCATGATTGAAGCTCTCTTGTTGATATCAAGACTACCAATGGTTATTTGCCTCGTCTTCTCTGTGTTGGTTTTACTAAAAAACACAACAATCAGATTCAGTAGACCTCTTATGCTCAGCACCAACAGGCGTGCCAAATCTGGAAGAAGATGATGGAAGTCATGACCCAAGAGGTACAGACAGATGACTTGAAAGAAGTAGTCAGTAAACTGATTCCAGACAGCATTGGAAAGACACAGAAAAGGCTTGCCAATCTATTTATCCACTCCATGATGTCTTAGTTGGAAAAGTAAAAATGCTGAAGAAGCCCAAGTTTGAACTGGGAAAAGTCATGGAGTTTCATGGAGAAGGTTGTGGAAAAGCTACTGGGGATGAGACAGGTGCTAAAGATGAATGCAAGCCACCAGCCCAAGAATCTGTTTAAAATTCAGACTTTTAATGGTGATAAATAAAAAATCCTATTTGTGGAGAAAAAAAGATTCAAATGTTAAAAACCCTGAAAACATGAAGTATTAGAAAAAAATGGGTATATATACTTTTAAACCTTGTAGTAGGAAAGGTTGGTCTACAACATAAAACACAAATGTCATTAAAAAAGTATTAACAGAAATGCTGGTAAATTTTACTACAAAAAATTTAAAATTTATGTTAATAAAAAAATTTATGTTAAAACAATTGTAAGAAGACTGAAAAGACAATCATGAAACTGGAATAAATATACGCAACTCATATCGCAGACAAAAGTGAAGTTCTCTAATATATAAAGAACTTCCACAATTCAATAAGAAAAAGCCTAATAACACAATAGAAAAAAGAGTAAATGATATGAACATCTAGGTCGCAGAAAAGGAAATACAAATAGTTTGTGATATTTTAAAAGATATTAAACCTCACTCATATTAAAAGAAATGCAAATTAAAACAGTACTCAGAGAACAATTTTCCACCTATCATGTTGAGAAAAATATTCAACTTTTCTAACACACTTGGAGCTTGTGTGAGGAAAAAGGCATTTTTATACACTGCTGATGAGTGTATATTAAACCACCTCTGTAAGGCAATTTGTCATTATCAATCAAAATGTAAATGCACATAACCTTTGACCTAGGAATAAAGATATATTCTGATGCATGGAAGTAATGTATGGACAAGATTTTTCATTGCAGCATTATTTGCCATAGCATATAATAAAATTTTATGCAGCTTTAAAAGAAACTGCATGAGGAAGTTCTTTTATGTACTGATATGGAAAGATCTCTAAAATACAAGTAGAAACAAATAAGGAGTACAAATGCTAATATTTGTGATAGAACAGGAGGTGTATGTGTGTGTATATATATCCACATTTATTTGCTTATATGTGAATAAAATAACTCTTGAAACTTGCACATTAATTATTTGTATGATAGGAGTATACATTTTAATTCTACTTTGGTATGCTTTTTCCTCAACTTATGCATGTTTACTGATCAAATAGGCTAGCAGTACTTTTACATACTGTTTAAATTTATAAATGCAAATTTGTTTTAACAAAGTTGAACTGTTATGCTGATGAATTTTATTTCAAAAGTTTAATACATTTTGTCGTTTATCAGCTTGAAGATATTTTCCAGGATCTTTAAGTAACTTAAGAGCTTGGACTGATTAATTTAATTGATGGATATTCACTGGGTACTTAATTTTTTTTTTTTTTTGAAATTAGCACCTGAGCTAACAACTGTTGCCAGTCTTCTGGGGTTTTTCTTCTTCTTCTTCTTCTTCTCCCCAAAGCCCCCCAGTACATAGTTGTTATTCTAGTGGTAGGTCCTTGTGGTTGTATTATGTGGGACGCCACCTCAGCATGGCCTGTTGAGCTATGCCATGTCTGCACCTAGGATCTGACTGGCAAAACCCTGGGCTGCCAAAGTGGACCGTGCAAACTTAAACACTCAGCCACAGCACCAGCCCCTGGATAATTTCTAAGCAAAGTGGAATACTGAAACATGCATACCGAGCATAATTTAACTTTATATACTTTTGCTCCTTTTTTTACGTCTACAGAGAGCCTATATCTCTGGGTCTGTTAATGAACATGTTCATTTTTGTCAAAGAAGTTTTACTATACAGGACACATATAGCTGCAGAAATTTGTGAACTCTGCTAGTCTGCTAAAATGCTAATGGGTGGACAGTTCACAGTCACAAGCATCCATCCTCTGGTTTCTCTGTGAAATAGAGAATTAAATCATGTTTATTTTATAATCACTATTTATAAATCACTTAACACATGTTTATTTTATATCTGTTTTACAGTCATGATTTTATCTTTTTTTTTTAATGTACCTTTTAATAGCACACAGGACAGAAGCCCTATTCATTATAATTCTTCACAAAAATGGAAGCCTTAGAGTTAATTCTTGCCCTTAATCTTAGATGAGAAAACCTGGAAGGCAGTAACTGGAAGATCAGAGATGGTGTTAACCTTCAACAACCCTAATCTTATCCCTCCTACTCACCCTTCTAGTCGAGCGGGCCTAAATAATCTTTTCCCACCCTACACCACCAGGTGGGGCTGGATCAAGGGTCCTAGCCCTGGAAGGCTAATACCAAACACGCATAGTCTGGAAGGAACCAGGAGGGTGAGGGAGCCAGATTAGATTATTGAAGGTTAATACCAGTTTACATGATCTTTCAATTAGGATTAAGGGAAAGAATTAAATTCTAATGCCTAAGGTTTAGTGGTGGGTCCTGTTGTATTCAGTTAATGGGTTGCTGCAGCAGCTGAGGGGAAATGAAGATAACATGAAGTTTAGAGCTAGGAGATAGAGATTTTTTTTAAACTTTTTATTGAAGTATAACATGTATACATCTTAAGAATTGAGCACACCTGTGTAACCAGCGCCCAGATCAAATTGCAGAACATTACCAGCATCTGAGAAGCCCCCTCATTTTTCTCAGTCACCACCCACCCGCAGCACACACAAAAGTCACTCAATACTGAGTTCTCACAACATGGATTAATTTTGCCTGTGTTTGTACTTCATATAAATTGAATCACACAGATTTTTTTTGCGAAAATTTCTTTCATTAATTGTATTTTTCCAAGATTCATCCATATTGTTGCATCTAGTGGTAGATCCATTCATTATCTAGTCTGCTGTCAATACGAATTTGGGTAGTTTCCATTTTAGGACTATTATGATAGTACAGCTGTGAACATTCCTGTCCATATCTTCTTATGCCATGCATTTCTCTTAAGTATATACCTGGGAGTGGAATTGCTAGGTCATATTTATTTCTATATCTATCAGTTTGTATATATATATAAAAAACGATGAATTCATGCTGATACCGCTGATTCCAATCTAACACAACAGGGCTCATTTTACCCTCTCCCCTTTCCTCATTTGCAATTCCTTTCTTCAACAGTGAGAAACGTAGCTCCCATTAAATATAATATATTTTCTTATTTGCACAATCCTAGAATGCCCATAAAAAGAACTGCTAACCCATATTCCCCAGCTCTGTCTGCTGACAGGGCTTAGAAGCAATGACGCCTCAGTGCAATGAACACACTCAGCACCCAGATCTTCATTTCTAGATGTCATTCTCCAAGAAAAGGAACCAGGGTTCCTTGGAGAAATGACTGAGTCTAGGGAGGGGGCAATGAAAATACAAGATGAGCCTGAAACATCTTGTGGTGTCAGAAAGTAAGGAAGTGCTCAAAATAGAATGGGAGTATTTCAAAAGGACGCAGGAGCCAACTTGAAGATGCTCCTAATGACCATATGTGGGACAATTTGAGCAACAAAACAAAAAATGTTAGTAATGGATTATAATCTGTAGAATAAAATAAATATCAATGAGTTAATACTGGAATAAATAACTGAATAAATAAATAGGAGGGAAGGTACAGCTCATCCTTACAACTGAATTTCAATTAATAAATGGAGAAGGAATTATGCAAATAGAAAATCACCTTTGGAAAATCAAAGGTAATACATATTGCAGACAAGAATCATCAGTGAATGCTAGAATTAGGTAGTTGAAAGTAATGATAAAAAGATTTGTATAGTCTCAAAGTATCTCCCCAAACAATACTTATTAATTACAAAAAGGAAAGCAGTAATTTTATAGCGGAGAACCCTAGCAGACATCATCTTTACCACATCATCTTTCAAAGTGAACATCACCAGTAATGAGACACAGCAATATCACATGTGCCTTCTGATATGATGCACTGGGAACGACACAACATCACTTTTGTGGGATGCTCACCAAAAATGGATAACTTCAACCTCATCATGAGAAAACATCAGACAAATACAAGTTGAGGGACACTCTGCAAAAATAATTGGCCAGTACTCTTCAAAACTGTCAAGGTCACGAAAGACAAAAATAATTGGCCTGGACTCTTAAAAACTGTCAAAGTTATGAGAGAAAAAAAAAAAGACTGAGGAGTTGTTCTACATTAAAGAGTCCTTAAAGAGACATGACAATTGAACGCAGTGTGGGATCCTGGATTACATCCTGGACCAGAAAAAGAACATTAGTGGGAGAACTGGCCATATCTGAATAAAGTCTGTAGATTCTTTAACAGTAGTATATTAATGCTAATTTCCTGACTTCGATAATTCTCCTGTAGTTATGTAAGATGTTATACTTGGGGAAGCTGGTAAAGAGTATTCAAGAACTTGCTGTATTATTTTTGTAAGTCTAAAATTACTTCAAAGAAAAAAGATTTTTAAAAAAGAAGAAGGGGGTGGGGCATGATTGTGTCGTGCTTCAGCCAAAAACCCTGCAAGCACCTCTGCCTACGGCTTAAAGACTGACTCTCCTGAGAGTGGCCTTCAAGGCCCTCAATAACCTGGCCAAACATTCCCCCAGAGCTATTGCCCTTCACTCTCCTATCACCCGCCCACACCCCACCAATCTCCACAGCACGCAGTACACACTGCTTAGAAAAACCCTACTCACGTTCAAAGACCTCCTGCACAGGACCTTGACTCTGCACCCGCTTCAGGAAGCAGAGGGAGCTTCTGGCTCTTCCTGGGTCAGCAGCTGACTTTCCTGACTCCCTGGAAATCTTGAACTCCCTCTAAGGGCCTCTGCAGGCCAGTCAGGCATTGCTGACACCCTTTCTACCCTCAGGAAACTCGCAACCTGCAAATGAATAAGAAAGGAAACAATAGTGACAGGCTCAGGACAGCTCAAGGAGGCAGGTCAGAGAAAGGCAAGGGAATCACATCTTCTGCTGTGAAGTAGGTGTTCTTCTTACTCCCTCTTTGCTAGTGAGGGAATTGAAGCTCAGAGAGGTGACCCGCCTAAGGCTACACAACCAGTAAGGTAGAGCCAGGTTTGAACTCAATTCCCTGCTCCCCTGGCTGAGGAATTCAACTCTCAAATGCTTTGAATAGTCAGCCAAGCAGGGTCCTCAGACAGCTTACATTTTACCCCAACTCCAACCTCAAGGAGCAAAATGAGATCTTCCTAGAGAACACTGCAGACAAAGTTCTCAAAGAGCTGAGGGACATGCCAACTGACTCCCTACCCACCAAGCCCACAGAGGATCCTGGAATCATGGATGAACTTGTTCTCAGGAAATGTCAATGGCTTTTACAATGAACTAAATTGACATGAGCTATGTGAATCTCTGCAAAAATATCCCAAAGCTGAGCAGGTGGGATACCTTGCTAGACACCATTTGGCCGGCTTCCTCCACATTTAAATGTGGATTCATCACTTCAAAAGACACTGGTTGGGAAACTGCTGTTGCAAAGCTCTGGGTGAACCAGCAAACCCACCTGGTAGAGCGGCAGCGGCGATTAACTGAGCGACAGAGCGTGCTTGACACCAGTGCTTGACACCAAGTCAGAAGCAACGAATGTTGGCTATTAGGACTACAATTATTGATATTATAATTGTTCATATCAAACCTCTACCCTCCCCACACACTTCACTTCTCCCTGTACCCAGCAGGTTTTCCCATCTTCCTATATCTCCCTCCCTACCGGGGAGAATTCGGGACTGCATGCAAGACAGGGAGTATATTTTATTTTTTTAAAAGAAAGCACTTCTTAAATTTCAACTTGTCAAGACCCCTGCCCCACTCAGCTTTCCATCTCCCAACAGAGACCTCCATACCCACACCCCACTGCTTCACTTTCTCTGACCATAACTTACGTGGCCCGGGGCTAGTGGTCCCCCTCCATCTCTGTGGAGAGGAGGTGACCCGGCCCACCCAGCATGGTCTTGCCTGTGCCAAGACAAGAAGAAAAGGAGGCTTTGTGTGGCTCTGACCCCTCTGGCTACTGAGGCCCTTCCAGTTAGGCTGTCACTCTTCCCTGATCTCTACCCCTAAAGAGACGGCCAGCCCCTATTTCTTGTTTCCCTTGGCCCCTTGCCTTAGGCCTGGGCTAGGAAAGCAAGACTCCCCACCATTTGTCCCCTCAGCACAGCTAGGGTGGGAGGCCGGTGTGCATCCTGTAGCATTGCCTGTGGAGGCACGGGCACTCTGGAGGCAAATCTCCACATTTCTGAATGGCATCTGTGTGACCTTGGATCACCTCCTAACTTCACCGAGCCTCACACTGTGTTCACTGTGGATCTTGATGTTACCTGCCAGAGCATTAGATGAAAGAGAAGCTCTGCACATTTCGGTGCTTCATTTATGAGGTGGTTATGGGTGGTCTCCCCCTAGCCGCTCTGAGGACTTGCCACTCTGAGCCCCCAAATACCCCCTTTGCCCTCTTCTCACCTTCACCTCCCTCCAGATTCCCTCACCATCTAGTTACACCTCTGGGGCCTGAGAGTCAAGAGGTCTGATAATGCAAGAGTACGGATTTCAGAAGCACATCTACCTGGTTTTCAAGCTGAGATTCGCCACCCTCTGACCTTGATCAAATACATCTTATTTGACAAATGAGATAAGGATACCTACCAGATAGGTTTATTGACGCAAGGATTAAATGAACAACACGTATATGGCCTTAGCACAATACCAGTTTCAAAGAAGTGTAGCAGTAATAATACATAACAGTGTTTATTGTCATTAGTCCCAGCTGGCTGCCAACTTGCTTCGAGGCCTGGCATATGGTTGGCATATTTCCTAGTTCCTGACAATGACACCAGTTTCTCTTATTTTTAATTTCATGGGTCATTTTTAGAGAATGTTGAAAGGAGGACATTAGCAAACTGGGTCCTTATTAACATCTGGAAGTTTTCCTTTACCTGTTTGGGCTGGCTTCTATTGGTATGAGGAAATAAATTGATTTCCAAACACTTATCCTAAATCCAGCCAATTTATGGAGTAATTCAAGTAGTTCTTCTAGTTCTAAGATTTCCTAAGAAAGCAATTTAATCTTCTACTGATAACCATAATTTGTCTCCTTCCCCATAACTCTTCATTTGTGCTTTATTGCATTGATCAGATCATGGATAATGAACAATTGTGATGGTATCATCTTTACTTCATTCCTGGCTTAATGAAGAATGCCTCTCTCTTTTCTCCTGTATGTACATGTGAACTATTTGTTTAAGATAAAGGTAATTATATTGTTAAGGAAATCTCCCTTTATTTCCTTTATTTCTAACTCTTAGAGTTTGTTGTTTTTAAGCAGGTACAGCTGCTTAATTTCATCAGTATTTATTCAAATAAGGTTATTTTATTTTTGTTCTTTGACCTTATGACAGACATGATGGCTAAAGACTTTTCTGGAACTCCACTTGGGAATGAATAGCTAACCAATAATTTATTTTATGTTCAAATTAGTGGATAAAGAATGGACTATGCAACAAGGAGCATTAGAATATTTAGACGTCCACTGGGGGAAAAATTTTGTTTGAACTTTTCCTCTCAATCCCATAAAAAATTCTAGATGGATTAGAGATTATACCATTAAAAAAACTTAAAACTATTTGAAGAAAATATTGGAAAATATTTTTATGGCCTTGATGTGAGAAATCATAAGCAGTGTGTAAAATCTAGAAGCCATAAAAGAAGACATTGAGAGATTTTGCTACCCAAACATCCAAAACTTTTGTACGATGAAAGGCACCACAAAGAAAATTAAAGACAATGGAAAAATGAAAGAAAACATTGCCAACATATACAACAAGCATTGGATTACTAATCAGAATATGTAAAGAAAAGAGGAAAAAATATTTGAGTAAAGCTCAACTTCACTCATAATAAATAGCATGTAAATAAAAACAAGAAAGTAACATTTTTCCTCATCAAATTGTCAAAATTTTAAAAGATAAACACCCAGTGTTGGGGAATGTACATGGCTGCTAGATCTACAACTTCAGGTCTCCCACTCCAGAAGCATTTTATGTAAATAGCACCCCTGCAGGACAACATGGACTACAATGTGATGGGTGTGTCTTGGAGCAGTGCTCTGAGTGCCAGGCCCCTCCTAGGGACTTAGTGAGGTTTTTGTCTACCCAGCAAAACATAAAAGGCTCTCTGACTCAATGATTCCTCTTCCAGGAATCTAGTCTTTCAGAAATACATGAGTATGTAATATGTATATAAAGATATATGCAAAAGGATGTTCATTAAAGCATGCTTTATATTGGAGAAGACAGGAAACAAACTATATGTCCATCAATAGGGGATTGTCTGGACAAATAATGGTGCACACATTCATGAGATATTTTGGAACTCTTAAAAAGAACCAGATGGATTTAAGTGTATTAACATAGAATGATCTTGGAGATTTGATGTTATGACTGTGATAAGCATTAATGTGAAAGCAAATCCCCAAAATATCTATTATTCAATCCCAGGTATATACAATGGTGTCTGAATACGTATTAGATAGATAGGGCATGCATAGACAAGGAACTGGAAGAGTCCACCAAGCTGAGGGGACTAGACTGGAATCACTGGGCAGGAGGAGTTAGTGATAGGGAGGAGTTTCATGTTTTACTCTGTTTGCTGTATTACTTTGTGACTCTACCACAATATGAAAGTATTGTATATGTGTTGTGTTTATTGCAAATTCAAAATATTAGGTGGCCTGCTCGTTCTGAGCTTCAAGAATCCCTGTGGGTCTGGCTATTCTTTGACAACTTCCCACCTGGGTAAACTACCAAGGACTGTCCTACTACCCAGTGTGAGAAATTCTTTTTTTATTATTATTTTATAGAGGTCGCATTGGCTTATAACATTGTGTAAATTTCAAGAGTACATAACTATATTTCAGTTTCTGTATAGACTGCATTATATTCACCACCAATAGTCTAGTTTTTATCCATCATCACACATGTGTACCCCTTTATCCCTTTCGCCCCCCCCCCCTCCTCCTTCCCCTCTGGTAACCACTAATCTGTTCTCCTTATCTATGCGTTTGTTTTCTTCCACATATGAGTGAAATCATTTGGTATTTGTCTTTCTCTGTCTGGCTTATTTTGCTTAGCATAATACCCTCAAGGTCCACCCATGTTGTTGCAAATGGCACAATTTTGTCTTATTTATGGCTGAGTACTACTCCATTGTGTATATATACCACATCTTATTTATCCATTCGTCCATTGATGGGCACTTGGGTTGCTACCACATCTTGGCTATTGTGAAAAATGCTGTGATGAACATAGGGATGCTTGGCATTCCTGAAATAAACACTTTTTCTGAGCTAGCTCATCTGGGCATCCTAATCTCCATGAGAGCTTTTTAAAAATTTAGATCCAACTTTCTGCCCAAGATCTGCTGACTCAGAACCGGAATTTCTGTGCCCAAGGCTATTACCTGGAGGAGGAAGTGAGAATTTAGGATTACTGGATAGTGTGGTGACTGTACTGGACAATTGCATAGCCACAGTGAGGAACAGAGAAGGCAGAGGGGCAGCCTTAATCTGCCAGGACTCCAGTTAACCTAATGGGGACCCTTGATGGATAAAGACATGCTCGTGGGTTTGCTGGTGAAGACGCTCTGCTTACAGCCAGGTGAGGCACTCAGGCTCTGCAGCACAGACGTCGGGGCTGCAGCTCTTGCTTTTTCTTTTCACTAAAACTTAACTTTTTTTACACTTGTTGGGTGGGGTGTCCCATGGGTGAGGATTCGACTATTGTGTTCTAAACTGGAAGGAGGTGGGGACGATTTGAAGTTCACTGAAAAACCCACCCAGCTCTTCTTCTGATCTTGCTTAGAATGGAAAATA